GTGTAAGCAAAAGGCGCTTGATTCCAGGCTTGGTCTTTCGCATTTTGGAGGAATCAAAGGATTCCGATTGATTTTCAGGCGAAGATTGCGATTCTCCGGCGGAAATTCCGGTGGTTTCGCCGGGATTATTGGTCGGAGATCCTGACCGAAGTTTCTCTCTCTTCGAACTGTCCGGCATGTTTTCGACAACTACCAAAAATGACTCGTCTCCATTTTTGTCCTTCCCAAATGATCAAATGAGCAGGTGGTTATGGGTTCGAATCCTAGGGGTGTTCAAAATTGTGTACGGGTTTTGGGTATCCGAAAATGCAGGTGCTTGGTTTTCGTATCACCGGGTATTAGGATGGGAGCTCTAACCACTTGAGTTATCTCTCACTCTCAATTTTAGTAATTGATGATAATTAGGTACTTGGATTTTCCCTGACACAATCGATGACATACATGATGACTTTGTGGATTTTGCTTTGGTGGATAATAGTCGTGCGGAGTTCATTGATGAAAATGTGAGGGAGATATTGAATTTTTTTTTTGGTGTTCCAAATGGTTCACCTTTTGGGTTAATCTGGATTCGGGGTGGTTGAATCCAGACCCCTCCTAATTGTTGCGGGTGATCGAACACGAGTTATAGTGAGGGAGTTATTAAATATGAAATTTAGATACTTCGTATAATTGATGTTGATTGTGTGATTTAAATTGATGGTAGTTTACTATCTATAATAAATTGGATAAATCAACCATGATTGTTTGGGTAACATGTTGATTAATTTAGCATGGGAATATGAACTAGAATTAGCGTAATTGTTTGTTATTGAATTTATTTTTCTTAGAGTAGACCCAATGGATGACCCAAAATTCTTGGTCATTGATTATTATATAATTTCTTTCTTTTTCCACTCATCCATGACCAAGTCACATGGCCAACCATGACCAAATACTCCTAATGGTTGCCCAAAATAACTTTGGTCATGATTTTCTCTCTCTCACTTTTATCATACAAATACCCATTTTCTTCTTCCAATAATACTCTGCCACTTGTCCATTAATATTTTCATGACCAAAATTTCAGCTTGGTCATTACAAAGACCAGGTCATTAATCTCTTTCATCCCTTTTTTTCTTTCTTCTATTTTTTTAATATAAAAAATCCTCTCTCTCTCCTCATGACCAGTGACCTGGTCATCCAATGGCCACACTCTTATGATTTGAATCATAGTGATGAGAACTAGATTTGAGTGTCATATATTAATCATTCTTAAATTACACAATTACCATTGCATTTAGTCTTCAACTAAGTTAGGTCTTGTGCCACGTACGACTATTTTACTTACTTTATATGTTTTTTTAATAGATTTATTACTCCATATTCAACGTTTGTTCTTGAAACAATATTTATTGTAATTATTAATTAAGAGAGTCACAAATATTTTTTTTCCTACAGTTTAATAAAATGAAAAATATGATATTATGTTGGACTATTTAATGCGTCAAAAGATTTTGGACTACTTAATAAAGAAACAAATAAGAAGAGTGCAATCCATTTATGTATTGAATTAATTTATAATTTTGATAAATTTCTCAATTTTTATAGTACTCCCTTTGTCCCTTAGGGCCTATTCACATTTACTGAAGTGAGTTGAACTAAACTGAACTGATTGGAGCTAAACTGAACCGGACTGAAATGAATATTTTTTATGAGAGAGGGAAATTAGGAGCTGAACTGATTGAAGCTGAACTGAACTGAAATTAAGTAAATGTGAACAGGTCCTTAATTATAATTTTGATAAATGCTAGAAATAGGAATCTAATTAAGGGACAGAGGGAGTTTATAGTGATTTCTATATAGAAAAATATAAATCAAAATTTTTGTAAATTGGTTAATGTATATTAAATCGATATTATATTCTTAAAAATATTCCATCAATATTACATTGTTTTACAAATGATTATTTCTTTCCTTAATCAATCGTAGTTATTACTAGCATATCAACAAAAAAAAAGGTAAATATTATTGCTCATATATATTGTTGTCAAAAACAAAAAAAATTCAAAATAACTTCCTTAAATAAAATTTCTAAAAAAATTATAAATTATTAAAAAAAAAAAAAAACCTAAAGACACACAAGAAATTGACACGTGTTATACTGGTGTGTCTTTTAGTATATAGTCATAGTTATTATTGTTATTATTATTGATTGACTTTTTTTTTGTTTTTGAAATTGAGTATTGCCCAAGTTATGTATTAATGTCATGATTCAAATTTCATATTAATTTTTGAAAGAATGACATGTAATATGTAATAATAACTTAGTGGTTAAAATGTAAGTTTTTGAACTTGAGGCTATATATGGGTTACTACAAATTTACAAAATAAAATAACTATTGCCAAAACAAAGCATTCACATACCATGCTCAAATCACATGAAAAATAACTTAACTAATTTTTAAGGTCTTTGTGTAAATGAGGAACTAGGTTTGGTGTTTGGTCATAATAATAATTTTTAGCCATTGGAAGGATTATAATTATGAGTATCTACAAAGGCGTTGTAGTGATTGAGGCGTATGGACCTCCGCCCGTAATAAATATCCATCCAAAGTCTCAACCACGTGGTATTCGTCTTGTATATCATAGGTACCACAATATTTACGGCGTTATTGCAGCAATGGGATGTAGCATTATCTCAGTCGTATTCGTCCTAATTGAGGCAATGTGTTATATATATATATATATATATATATATATATATATATATATATATATATATATATATATATATATATATATATAATATTGAATTCGATACAGAAATATAAATGTCCTTAGAGAGAAGAAAAGATGCATTTAAATGTTGAAATAAATATAATTTTTAAAATCAATTTAGGGAATTCAAGACACAATTATTACAAGCCTTTTAAAATCAAATGGGGGCAAATATATAAAAACGCATTTTTAGGATATAAACTAGTTTTTGAGCCCAGGCGATGTCCTGGATTATTACATGAAACTGGTCATTAATATACGTTGTAATTTATAATTAAATTTTCTTGTAATTAAATTTGTTGTTCATATTGTTATATGCTACTATATCCGTTTCTTTTTAATTGACACGTATTCCTTTTTAAAAAGTTTTTTTTTAGTTGACACGTTTCCTTTTGGAGTAAATTTTTTACTTTGTATTTACTAAATACCCCACTTGCTTTTTCATTCTCTCTCACTCTCATTAATATATGTGCCTAAATCAAACGCGTCAAATAAATGGAAACAGAGTAAGTATATATTAATATTTTTGTATTTAAAAGATTGCATAAAAAATTACATAACTTAATGATAAGACACTTAATTGTAGAATTTGAGGTTGCGTGTTCAAATGCACTATTCATAAGAATTTTCTTAAACTTTTTATAAGTTATTAGAGAGGAATATCTATATCTATATCTATATATCTATATTATTATTAAAATTCTAAAGCAAGGAGTATCATATCGCCATGTGTCATTTTTCTTGTGTTATTCAAACACGTCATATTTGAAACATGCCACATAATCAGAGTTGGTAATGTTTTGTCTTCATGAAAAACTCTTCATAACCTCCAAATATTAATGTTACTTGAATTGAAAAACTCTTTATATGTATAAATACTCTATTTTAATGTCTCATGTAACTTCTTAATAACTGCACAATAATATAAGTTGTAAGAAATTAATTATTACTTTTTTTTGTGCATTAACTCATAAAACTGTAGTTATTGAGTCATAATATTGACATCAAAATTATAAAGCTCTGATTTATCATTTATCCTTTACATACTAATGCAAAAAATTATTCTTATAATCTAACAAACTTAGGCCTTATTTGGTAGTTAGCTTATTGGAGGTATATTAGCTTATTTGACTAACTTTAACTGATTGACTAGTCAAACAAACTAATACAAGTGTTTGGTAGTAAGCTTATTGAAAGAGCTTATTCCACTAAATAAGCTCTTTTTGAAAAAGCTCATTTTAGGAGCTTTTTCAATTAGCTTATTCATTAATTATTGTGAAATGACACTTATAACCTCATTTAATTTAAAATTCTATCTAAACTACATACCCCACAATTAGCTTATTGGTCATTTCACATACTCAATCACCTTTAAGCTATCAGCTATTTACCAAACACTTTTATATAATCAGTTAATACAATAAGTTAGTCAAACCAGTTAATAAAATCAGCTAGTCAAAATCAGCTAACTCAATCAGCTTCAGCTTTCAGCTTTCTCCCAAACAGGGCCTTAATAAAAAAAACCACTAATCTCTTATGCTATGTTTGGATAAGAAATTAGAAGGGAAATGTAAGGGAGGGAAATAGGAGGAAGGGGAAGGGAGGGAAATAGAAGGAAAGGGAAGGAAGAGAAAGTGGAGGAAATGATGAGCTCCATTTTCCCTCCAAATCTCTCTAATTTTGAAGGGATGGTTTTTATTAACACTTTATTTGGATAAGAAGAAATGGAAGGAAAAGAAGAGAAGAGAAATGAAGGGGGACAAAATCTCTTATTTGGGTAAAAGATTGGGGGAAGGAAAGGGAAGGAGAGGGAGAGGTCCATTTTCCCTCTCTCTTTAATAACCATAATCTCTCCAAAATTGGAGAGATTTGGAGGGAAAATGGAGCTCAACTCCCCCCTCCCTTTCTTTTCCCTTCCCTTCCTCCATTTTCCCTCCCCTTCTTTTCCTTCTTTTTTTGCTATCCAAACAAAGCGTAAAGGAGGAGGGAAAATGGATCCCTCTCTCCCCCTCGCCTTCCTTCCCCTAACATATTATCCAAACAAGGAACCTTGTCTCCCTCCCTTTCCCTTCCCTTCCTTTTCTTCCATTTTTTGTTATCCAAACATAGCCCTAGTGACAAACAAGGCCAAAATATAGTTTAATTAAAGTAATAAATTTATAATGACTCGGGGCATCGTCCGGACCAATAATTAATTTTAATAACAAATCTACCACGTAATAAAAATATAAAATACCTTGAACACAAAACCTAGTGAAGGTTGGCGTAAGATCAAACCTTAAAACCAATAGATGTGGACATGTGGTTAACTAAACACCTAATTAAAACCTTACTATCATCCTTTAAAGACAAACCCACGCTTTCAAAAATACATGCCCTTCTCATTACAAGTGGTCTGATCAACCAGAGAAACCCAGCTACCAAGCTCATTTCATCTTATGCTCAAATTGGTGACATCAAAGTTGCACGCCAAGTGTTCGATAAATTGCCTCAAAGAGGCATTGATGCTTGGAATGCAATGATTATTGCATATTCAAGAATGGGTTTTTCTAATGATGTTGTGGGTGTTTATAAAGAGATGATTAATGAAGGAATAAAGCCTGATAGTTCTTCTTATACAGTGGCTATTAAGGCGTGTGCGAGTTTGTGTGATTTTGAAATGGGAGAAGAGATTTGGCATCAGGCTGTTGGGTTTGGTTATAAGGATGATGATTTTGTTGGGTGTTCAGTGTTGAATTTGTTGTCAAAGGGTGGGAGGATGGTGGAAGCGAAAGCGGTTTTTGAGGGAATGAAGAGGAAAGATCTTGTTTGTTGGACGACTATGGTAACTGGGTTTGCAAAGATTGGACAGGGGTTGGAGGCAGTTGGAGTGTTTCGAGAGATGCAAGAACAAGGGATGGTAGGAGATGGGATTGTTATGTTGGGATTGATTCAGGCTTGCACTGATATTGGTGATATGAATGTGTGTCTTTCTGTCCATGGGCATTTGATCAGAAGAAATCTTCTAATGGATGTTGTTATATATACTAGTCTTGTGGACATGTACGCGAAAAATGGTCATTTGTGCCTAGCATATAGAATATTTTGTAACATGCCTCAGAAGACTGTTGTTTCTTGGAGTGCTTTGGTTTCAGGCTATGCTCAAAATGGTTTAGCAGGGGAAGCTCTTGAATTGTTGATAGAGATGCAAAGAGTTGGGTACAGACCGGATTTAGCCTCTCTTGTGAGTGCTCTTTTGGCGTGCTCACATGTTGGCTACTTGAAAATGGGTAGATCAATACATGCTTATATTCTTCGTAGGCAAGAACTTGAACATATTTCTGCCACTGCTGCGATTGACATGTATTCCAAATGTGGGGCTCTATCATCTGCTCGTGAACTCTTTGATATGATAGGCTGTAAGGATGTTATCTTATGGAATACTATGATAGCGAGTTATGGAATTCATGGCCATGGAGAGGCTGCTCTTTCAGTATTCCATGACATGATCAAGACCAATTCATATCCCGATGATGCTACATTTGCATCTCTTCTTTCAGCTTTAGGTCATTCAGGTCTTGTAGAGCAAGGCCAGTACTGGTTCAATGAAATGATCAACAGATTCAGGATTGAACCTAGCGAGAAACATTATGCTTGTGTTGTTGATCTGTTAGCTCGTGCAGGTAAAGTGGAAGAAGCTCTTGATTTAATAAATTCCATGAAAAAACATGAAGCTGGGATGTCCATTTGGGCCGCTCTTTTGTCTGGTTGTCATAACCACAGAAAATTTTCCGTTGGAGAGTTGGCTGCTAAGAAAGTTCTTGAATTACAGCCAGATGATTCAGGCATTTATTCTTTAGTTGCAAATTTTTTTGCATCAGCGAAAATGTGGAAGGAAATGGCTGAGGTGAGGAAAGCAATGAGGATGGCAGGTATGAAGAAAGTCCCTGGTTACAGCATGGTGGAGGTGAAAGGTAAGCTCCATGCTTTCCTTATGGAAGATAAGAGCCATTACCAATATGAGCACATGGTCCTAATAATAGAGAAATTGGACTCTGAGATGAGAGCCATGGGTTATACGCCAAAAATCGAGTTTGTTTTCCATGACATTGAGGAGGAAGTAAAGGTGAAAATGTTAAGTTTTCATAGTGAAAGATTGGCTATTGCATTTGGCCTCTTGAACACTGAACCTGGGACTAAGTTGGTGATTAATAAAAATCTAAGAGTTTGTGGAGATTGCCATGAGGCGATAAAATATATATCAAAAATTGTCAACAGGGAGATTGTTGTAAGGGATGTAAAGCGATTTCATCACTTCAAACACGGTGTATGTTCATGCGGAGATTATTGGTGAGTCATGACTTCAAGTCTTCAAAGAGTGTTAGTACTAAGGCTAGAGAAGTAGGTCCTATTATAAACTGATCCTTCTTACAACCTTACACATGCTGTGGTACTATAAAGAACAGCTACTTGAAGCAGAGGAACAAGCTTGTATTACTATTCTATTATCAAGGATTCATTTGGTAGTATCCTTGCAAGAAATTGCCAGCTTTTTGAGAAGATTATATGCTATCCTCTGACTGAACTTCTCCTGAAAATAATACTACATATCCAACGGTGGCTTCTGAGATCGGATAAATTGTCTGCCGAGACATAAGCCACATCATAGAGAAGTTTTACGTTGATTGCGCAGGCAAAAGAGGTTAATCCTTCATTCCTTTATTGATCTCACTGATGAAATTGCAATGTTAAAATCTGGTATTTCCCTGATTCAATACACATTCAAAATAGTTGACAGAAAACTTCCAAAGGATTTGGAGCAATTTCATCGCTTGACATGCAGTTTCTATTCCTGTAGTTCTGGAGACCTTGCTTAGACATTAGTTATGCTGTTGAAAGAGCACAGATAAGTTGGTATACAAGAGATAATTTCATCATATAAAGCAACAAGTGTTTTGTGATTGTAAATTTGACATGAGTATGAAAGTATGTTGTAAGTAATACCATTACATTGAAAGAAGTAAATCACTTTTACAATAATAACCAGACTTCAGAAATGTAGTCATTAATTAATTCAACTAGTTCATGCATCACCATTCATCAGTCAGGTACTCAGGTAACAGTTGAAGGTTTAGTATGGAAATGTGATTGCTTGCGAGCATTAACATATATTTTGTATGAATAAAAAGAAAGACCTGTTTTTATCATACAAAACATATATATTTGTAAATAAAAAAAAAAAAAAATTAGCACCGCCGACACCAAAACCATCTAATAACCTGGTTCCATCCCTTCATTCTAACCCCCAAACACCATGCCCCAAAAGAAGGGAAATCCTTAATTGTTTCTGTCCAGCTGAATATAGAAAATACAGGTTTTGGCAATGGAAGCCTTAACCATATGAATATCAAAATCAAAATGTTTGTATGGACTTAAATTCTAAGTTCTTGTCAAAATCCTTCCGTCACCTTTTTTGAACTTGGGTCTGAAGGTTTTGATTATCTTCTAGTAGTCGGTCATACTCGAGCAGCAAATCAGCCGCCTGTTTCTGAAGGGCGACTACATGAGCATCAGCAGTCTCGATCGTCTTGTCTTTCTCTTGTGATTCCACCTTTAGCTTCTTTATTTCCTCCGTCAGCTTTGATAGCTCGTTCTGCAGCGTTGTTATTTCCTTTGAAGCCTTCTCCTCCTTCTCCTTCAGCTGTTGCTTTTCTTTTTCAATCTTCTCTAATTCCTCTTTTGATGCTCCAACCTTGCTTCTAATATTGATGAGTTTCCGGAGATAATGGTGCATACGTTCAATTAAGAAGCCAAGAAATAAAGTGAAGCCTGTAAAGAAAATAAATAGCTTTGTTAAATGTCTAATTAGGTATATGCAAGAAATCAGAATGATATAAGCTATTGCACTCTGGCTAGATTAAGCAAATTTAAGTCAAGGCAGCAAATGGCCAATATCTCATATTCCGAAAGTAAACAACAGATTAGGAATCCATAAGAACTCACAAGGGTGGACAATCATATTTTCCATCCAACATATAAGATACATACAACAACATGAGTGACCTCGAGCAAGGAAGAGAATTATGAGTATTGAGTAGAAATACAGCTGGTAGCACCCAAATAAGAAACAAATTAAATACCTAGGAAGGGCAGTGAGGAAAGAATGAAACAAATTCCAAATTCATTAATGGTTACCACACATGCTCGGATATGTTGGTAAGGGGGTTGTAGCAGCTTAACGGCTTAACCTCTCGGGTTCAAGCCCTAAGTATGTAGAAGCATTGGAAGGGAGAATTCCCTGTTTAAGGTCTAACCCAACTTGAATTTAAATCCAAGGCTTTGGATACCAGGTGATTTCTCTCAAACAATAAATTATGATTTTATTGATTTATATGTATAATGGTTACCATCACATGCTTAAATAAGCTGGTATGGGGATTGTAGCAGCTTAACCAAAGGTCTAAGGTTCAAGCCCTGAGAATGTAGAAGCATTGGTAAAGCGAATTTTGCCCCATTTAGGGCCTAACCCAACTCAAGTCCAAACCCAAGGCTCTAAATACCATGTAGTTTCTCTCAACATTGCACTATGATTGACCAACTTCTTATCCTAACACAGGACTAAGTTGCTACTTGCTGCTACAATAACAGTTGAGAAAAATAAGATCAATCAACAAATTCACACAAATCCAAATGGAAGAAATCACTATTGGGTACTTATGTTTGGAGCTCAAGGGATAACATATTGTTGCTTGTGTACTCCCTTTTACCTCAAGTGTCAGACTCAAATTCTGGCACAGGTACATTAATTTGGCCAAAATCAACCAAAAACTTTCTGGAAATGGGTGTCGAGTGAAGAAACCACAGAAGCAGCATAAGCACTTTCTTTCACCAGGTAAGTAGTCCCAAAGAGAGTTCATATTCATCAAGATGGTCGATTCACCCAAAATTTTCCAAAAGAACAGCTAGTTTCAGCCTTTCTCCAGGACCACAGATATTCAAGAACAATTATGTCTAAATATGCATCTTCTGTACCCATCATATCTATCCTCATAATGAGCTTATCACTGCAATCTTGTGTCCATATTGATTCATTGATTGTAAGTGTTATATCTTCGGTAGCCTGCATTAACTGATTCACAACCTCATCCCCCCCCCCCCAAATAAACCCCCCTATAAAATAAAATTCAAATGACGAGGCAGAATAATGGTAAACAACCATCAGACATTCAATTGTTTTATCTTCAACTTTCATCAAATAGTCTTCTCTAAAAAGTTAAGTCAGTCAACTAACCCAAAAGAGCTGGATGGTGCAAGGTCCATGAGACAATGTCAATTTTAAAATTGTGGAACTATGTACAGTCTCAAACTATCGATACTAAAATGTCCCTCAACATGTCATTACTACAACCAAATTACCAAACTCATTTAAAATGCCATCCAACCTATCAAAAAGTCCTTTGAAGCGGTGAGGAGTACAGATGAAAATATGTAGACAAGTTTACTTGGCTGTATATGAAAACCTCATATCAACTGTTATTCAACATCAGGGTCATATGACTTTTTACTAATGAGAAAACATCTGGGATATAACATGTTGAGACTGCAAATCGATAGATCACCAAAATTTAACACCTATAGACTATCAGCAATTGAGAAGTCATACGCTAAAACTCAACCTCATTTACACTTGCTTGCACTAAAAAAAACGCAGAGATCTGCAAAATAAATAAACAGTCTAGGTCCATTTTAGATATAAAACTCAGAAATTCCATCCCCTCAAGCTTCTGCGCTGTTAAACAGAAACTACTAGGTAACAAAGACTTTTCCATCTTAAACAACAGATGTTAAATCGAACTGATGCTTACCAATCTCAACCTATAAAACCCTTAAACCTTTAGCCAGATGCAGCTTTTGAAATCATAAAGAACAAAGGCCATGCACTTCACATTATGAAGATTTACTGCAGACACCTGTATTCATATGAAGTATATATTCTCCTATAAACAGACACCAACCTTTTTAAGCGAAACAAACAAAACACCAGAACCTCATAAATAGAAATTCCTAAATTCAAATTTCCTAGTGCGTCCCAAGATACTAAACATCAACAATCCAAGTGCTCCATGTTAAATATATATCACTGACCCCCACACTATACCACTAACAGACATTGGCTTTTATGGTAAATATGCATGAACAATATCTATATTTTTAGGATTTGGATTGGATCATATTGACCAGATCAATACGTAATCCCATCATTTAATAAACAGCATGTTATCAGCATACTGGTTTTACTGAACATTTGAACAATTTCCAGATTACTATATTTCTATTTCACGATTTCTTCCGGCGTTTAGCATATTAGGTCTCACCTTAACACTTGCCAAACTAATAACTTTACATACAATTTCACAAATTGCTATCATTACAAGCTACTAAACCTCCCAAGTCCTAACACTGACTGATAACCACTAAAATTGCTGATACCCAAAAGACTACTCATCGCCCTCCACGAAATTATAGCATTTCCACATCATAGAAACAATTGAATGTATAATCCAATTCAAAAACATTTCCTAAACCACAAACCCTAATATGTCCCAATTAAATCACAATTAACTACTCTCTTCTAAAATGCCAAATATTAGCATCATATACCCAAACAATCTCCACTATAACACAATCCTTATCATTCAAATTACACAAAGAAAATAATAACATGAAAGATTTATACAATTTCCACTATATAACACATTCCTCATCATCCAAATCACACATTACAACATACAACATACAACATCAACACAAACAGAAATCAAACGAAACGGCCCGAAACAAAAACAACCACAAATCACAATAAACCAAATCAAACCAACAAGAAATTGACAATAGAGAATTGAAGATCATTCATACCCATAAGTGAAGCCTCAAGCAAATGAGTCCTCCACAAAACTTGATCCATAGGTGACATAGTACCAAGCTTATTACCCTTATTTTGGATCTTCAAAATATTCATCAAATGAAACATAAATATCACAGACATTGTACCAGCAATTGTTTTCACTGTTGCTGGTCCTCTCCCTAATTTCACCTGGTCCAAGCTTTTCATTACAAGCTCTCTTAATGGCCCCACTTTCACTAACAAGAAGAAAGCAACCCCAATTTCTACACAAAGAACAAGGAACAAAAGCTGAATCATCTTCCTCTTTTGAACTTCTTCTTCTCTGAGTTTTTCTGTGAAAATCCACCTTCATGTAAATGAATTCCACACTTATGGAGGAAGATTAACTTCAGAAAACAAGTAATTTTCTTTCGAATTTTATGGAATTAGCATGATTTACAAATTTTGAAGGGGTTTTCAACATTTTGCTAAAATTGGCAAATAAATTGTAAAAAAACCCAATGTGAAAAACCCACCAACATCAAAATTAAATACTAGTATAAGAGAAAAATAAAGGGTTTATCAAAAAGAAAAAAAAAATTCCAATCTTTACAAAAAGAAGCTGCTAAAACCCTTTTAAAGAAAGCAGGGTTCTTTGGTATTTTGAGATATTAGATCTGTAAAATTTGCAATTTTTAGCAAAGAAAAACTGTTTTTCAAAGTTAAATTAATATTAAGAGCATAAAATGATGTTTTAGGGATTAATAGAAGGGTTTTTAGCTTGAAGGGTTGCCTTTTTTTTTTTTTTTTTTTGGGAAAGGTGCAAAAAAACAAAGATGATAAAAACAAAGGGTTTTAGCAATTAACAGTAGATATTAGAAAAAAGAAGTAATTAAGGAGTGAATTACAAGAAAAAAATGGAGAATTATAGTAAGAATGTGAATAAAATGATGCGTAAAAATGGATTCCAAGACTAAAAGGAGAGTGAGGCAGTGTGGAAGACAGAGTGTCAGAAAGAGTGAAGAGAGAGAAAAGCAAGTGTTTTTTTGGAACAAATTGTACTCTCACTTTTAACATTTGAACTAAACTCGCCATCTATTTTATGTTTGGTCTCCTTATTAAACTTTTAATTACAGATTATGGAGTACTTTTTTTTTTAATAAGTACAATTACAACACAGATGAGGTATATGTGGATTTAGATTTTTGAATGTATTAGGTGATATTTCCTCCACTTGATTATACCTAAATTTAGATTATTCGAAACTAAATTAAGTCTAAAATAATTTGATTTTAACTCGAATTATATTTAGAATTAACTAAAAATGAAATTGATTTGAAGCAAACCGACTACACTAAATAGTTCATAATAATTGTTTCGGACAATTCAACTTAGATTTTTATACATGACCCAAAAGTTCACTTATTATGCCAAAGCCTCCATGCATTAATATATCCCATAATTATATAGGCTTGATTCAAAGCTTTCTTACTAGAATAAGACTCGACTTGAAAAGAAGAGTATCAGCTCGTATCTTAACTAAACAACTTGTTTGCTAACTCACTATGTAAATTGACTCAAAACTCCTTTATTATAATTTAATTGTAAATTTTGTTTCGGAAGCTTTTTTGAAACTTATTCATACCTTATATCTCACTATGTACGTTTTATAAAGAATAAAAAGAGAAGGCTTTTAAAGAGGGAGAAGAGAAAGGAGTCAATCGGCGTTTTTTTTCTTTTTTTTTTTGGGGGGGGGGGGAAGGGAGAAAGTAGAGGTAATATAAAATTTGGGACGACCATCGCCTAAACATAAAATGTAGTGCCCAAACTCGCAAAAAGTAACAAGTTTCTCAAGCCAAAACGGGTTTTTCGGACCAAGTTCGGATTTTGAACAGAAACAACTTTTTTTTACTTGCCCTAACTCACCCTATTTTCGAGTGAGTCATACTTGATCATCTCTTAATGAAAAGGAGTTAGGGTAGGCTGGGCTGGGCTGGGTTGGTGGTGCGAGGGGAGATAAAGAAAGGGGTAAGGGTGGGGGAGGTGGTATGTGCGGTGGCGAGGGGGTGGCCGGGGATGGGAGCTGGTCTTTTTTGTTAAAAACTACTCGTACATAGTAAAATCAACCACAAAAAGTAATTTCCATTCAGTTTTCAATATCATTATTGCCTTATTGGTACGATTAATTAATTTTTAATTCATGATTCTATCTAATTCATATGACCTGCAAAATCATAAAACCAAAAATTGATTGTGATACTCGTAGCTTACTTATGAACAAAACTACTAATTGAATGTCCCTCAGACTACTTCGTATTAAATAAATCTTAATAATACTTTTCAATATACTTATTAGTATTAAAGCTTCTAAGCTACAGAGTATTATTGTAAATGAAAATATTACCTCTATTTTTTAAAGGCAAAAGCTAACGAACGTCCGGGGCGTTAGATAAGCTAGCTAAAAGTAGAAAGATTAAATTAAAATGAAGATTAAGTACACCGATCGACGCGTAATTTTATCATGCTTTCCCAAATTTATACCACTTTTGGTATTATTTTAAATGTTTATCCAACGCCACGGGTGCGTTCATTAGCAAGATCCTCTTTTAAATGCAACTTATAAATTTTAGTTGTCTTACAAGTAAAATTATGATATGCCAGGAAGCAAAAAGGCACAAAAACTTAGCGGGTTCCAAGCATCAAATAAAGCTCTCGATCAAATGGGTTTGTTAATTGCATACTACAGATTGATCAATTGCCACCAAATTTGTTCTCGATCGATCTCTAATAGCAGACTAAACGAACAAATCCCCTTAAACAAAAGATGTATAATTTTGATATCTTCTTAATTAAATTCAATAGACTACTTAGCTTAGCTTGTGCAGTCACTTGTTATATATAAGTACATATTATATCAGCACTAGCAAATCAGGTAGTCAAAAACTAAATATAGAGCATGATAACATTTTGAGTCATATACACACCATAATAACATGTCATAGTGAGCACATGAACAATTAAACTACTACTCCCTCCGTCCCCAAAAGAACGACCCTTTTGGGTTGTTTTCGTGGGTATTAACAAAGTTAAATAAAAAAACGAAAAAGTATATTGGAAAATAAAATTTAAATGGGGTTTACAAAAAAGTAAAGAAAGATAGTACTAAAAGTATATGGAAAAACAAAATTTTATATGGGAAATCTAATTTTGCACAAATACAAAGTATTATTGCAAATTGGTGGGTATTTTAATGTTAATGGGTCATTCTTTTTGGGACTAAAATTAGGCTAAATGAATCGTTCTTTCGAGAACGAGAGTATTAAATTAACAATGTATGTTGACATAGCAATAACGTAAAATAAAAGGCAAGGTTTTAGGCCGTTGAGACACATCGAGCACTTCTGAGAAGTGATTCTAAGCATAAAACAGATAAAAGATAACGAAATTATTAGAAGACAATAACTGTCATTCCATACCATATTATCATATGGGCTTTAGGGTAATTCCATTTTGTCATTCATCACTTGGTACTTCAAGTCCACAATCGAACGCAATCTTACAAATCTAAGAGTTTAATCCCTTAAAATTAAAAATAGAATCATCAGATTGATCACTTGTAAATTTGTAATTGTAGCTCTAAAGATAAATAAGTTTTACATTTATCTTTTTATCTTTTATTTATGAATTCATAGGAAAACTATATTACTGATTTAAAAAAAAAAAAAAAAAAAAAAGGGTGACATATGATTAGAATCTTATGAAAACTTATCAAATCATCTAGACTAAAAACAATATTATCCCTAATCATAAATTGTATGTAATTCATAGGAAAACTAAATTATTGATAAAAAAAAGGTGCCATATGATTAGAATCTTATGAAAATTTATCAAATCATCTAGACTAAAAACAATTTTATCCATAATCATAAATTATTATATGTAATTCATAGGAAAACTAAATTACTGATAAAAAAAAAATGACATATGATTAGAATCAAATCATCTAGACTAAAAACAATTTTATCCATAATCATAAATTGTACGTGTTTGTATGCTTATGGAATTAGTATCCAAATCTATAAATTAATAATTCTACCTCCAAAATTTCACATATTCTTTCTCTTAGTAATTATACAATTGCACCAAAATTTTACGTATTCCGGCGCTTTTTGTTACATAATAAAAATTATGAAGATCATAATTGTAGCATTGTCAATAATTTTGGTGATCCTCAACTTATCACAGCTTACAATTATTATGATGTGGTAACCCTTGGGGCAAAACCCAATTCGAATTCGGACTCTTCTAAGGCGTTGGAGGCGGCTTGGAATATAGCTTGTGATTCAACGGGCGAGTCGACAATTCATATTCCTGAAGGAGAATACTTTGTTCCAAAATCCCTTAAGTTTTCTGGAAAGGGATGTCAAAGTAGTAAGATTAATTTTGTTATTAACGGAACCCTTATAGCCCCTAGTGATTTTCGAGTGCTTCAAAACTCAAAAACATGGGTGTTATTTGAGCATGTCAATGGTCTTACACTTTCTGGTGGAGTGTTTGACGCTGCAGGATCTAAGTTATGGAACTGTAAACGATCCGGAAAAGAAGCATGTCCTCGTGGTGTGGAAGTAAGTTATTTATTTTCTATGCATAAATTATATGATAAAGTAATGCTCTAATTTAACTATTACGTACCTATGATTATTTTTACATTAAAGGATCTTTATATGTTATTTGATCACAGTCCTAAAATTATTATGTGACGCAACATCGTACTCAAAACATACTTATAAATTAAAAAGAAGTTTGTTGACACAATTAGAAAGAAGTTAGGGCTACACAAATTAATATTAGCTTGTGATTATGAATTTATTTTTTTCCGCAAATTAATATTTAATCTGTTTAACACGCAATTTCGAACCAATAGTCTTATCTATTTAATGAAAAATAACTTCTTTTATCTTTCATTTTATTATTACACGCACGCTTAAAAATATTAAACTGATTTATTTATTTTTATTAATATATAGAATATAAGAAAATTTGTGAAGAATAAGCCAACCTTTACATGATTAGCTCAAAATAAGTCAACCTTTTGATTAACTAAAAATAAGTCAACCTTTATAGGATATCTTCTCAAAATAAGTCATGACCGGTTGAATTTTGGAATTACCGGTTGTTTGGGTTAATTATTCATTATGTAATTGGTCCTTTTATATAAAAAAAATTTGATTAACATTTAATTTTGATTAAAAAAAACTTTTTGTTCAATTAACAATAATATCAATAAAAATAAAGTAAAAAAAAATTTCAGCCACCTACCCAGTACCCACTGCCAGCCTCACTCCCCAGCATCTCCCTTGCCACCGGCGGTGAACCCCCTTCCCTGGCCCACGCGACCAACCCCTCTCCCTTCCCCCACCCACGAACACACCTATCCCTCCCAGCCTCTCATTCCCCTTTCCCCTTACCCAAACCCAAACCCCGACACCTACTCTTCTTTCGCTCTGCAGTTTTCCATAACTTCACATTTCTTCTGCTGATTTGTTTTCTGGTACAATTCCAATGCATGGTTTCGAAATTTTGACAAAATGTGGGTAATAACTCACGGTAGGGGAAGCGAGAAAGGGGAAAGAGGAAAGGGAGGCTGGGAGGGATAGGTGTTTGGGTTTGGGTGGGGTGTTGACATGGATGGGGAAAGGGAGGGGATACAAGCACCATGCCGTGGTAGAGGGGAGCTGGTGGAGATGGGGTTACTGAGATTTTTTATTTTATTTTTTTAATTATTGTAATTATAATTAACATTTAATAAAATAATAAGTTATTTTAATTAAAGAATCACTTGTTTAATAGGTTTTAGGTCATTGGACCTGTTAAAAGAAAATACCTCTGAAAGTCGACTTATTTTGAATTAATTGAAAAGTTAGACTCATTTTGAGCTAATCAGGTAAAGGTTGACTTATTCTTGACAAATTTTCCTAGAATATATTAATCTATTTTGATTTTTTTATATTAATACAACGATTTTTTTTTTTTTTTTTTTGAATTGCAGAGTTTAGGTTTTGTAAATTCCCAAAACATTGAAATAAATGGTATAACGTCATTAGACAGTCAATTATACCATATTGTTATTGATGATTGTCAAAACGTGAATGTGGAAAGGGTTACGATTTCTGCCTCGGGTCATAGTCCTAACACCAATGGTATTCATGTACAATCGATAATCAATTGATGTTATTATATCAAGTTCGAACATTGCTACAGGAGATGATTGTATCTCAATTAGACCGGGAACTAAAAATTTATGGATTCAAGATATCACATGTGGTCCCGGTCATGGCATAAGTATTGGGAGTTTAGGAAAAACTTTCCATGAGGCAAAAGTATATAATGTCACGGTACAAACGTCAACTTTTACTAATACGGAGAATGGGGTGAGAATTAAATCATGGGGAAGACCAAGTGATGGATTTGTTAGCGAGGTTGTGTTTCAACATCTCACAATGGAGAATGCTAAAAATCCAATCATCATCGATCAAAAATATTGCCCCAATGATAAGGATTGTCCCGGAGAGGTATATGAAACTATATTTTTACGTTCAAGATCTTATTTAATTTTTTCTTTTTTAAATCTTCATAACGTGATTTTTCTTATTTTTTGTGAATAGGTTTCTGGAGTAAAAATAAGTGACGTGACTTATGACGATATCCATGGATCATCAGCAACATCGATTGCTGTGAAATTTGATTGTAGCCCAAAACATCGTTGCTCAGACATAAAATTGAAGAACATAAATTTGACTCACAAGAACAAGCAAGCTTCTTCTTTTTGTAACAATTGTGAGGGATCAACTTTTGGAAATGTTCAACCTAAAAGTTGTTTCAACTGATTAATTTTTATGTGCACTTTATAATACAAAAAAATTTATATTCAATAGTTTGTTTATACCTTTAATGAATATTGTGAAAAACACATTTAGATTATAAACTTTAAACCCTCAAAGTTAAATACATACTCCTCTGCTAAATTCTCAAATTAGCAATTACTTTTTAATGTATAATTATTATCATTATTTATAGTAAAAAAAAAAAAAAAAAAACTTGAATATGTATTTTTCAACTTAACATAATTGTTGAATGAAAAATTATTATATTTGAATAAAAAAAAATGTCATCAAGGTTCAAAATAGAAGAAAGCAATATAATATGTATTAAAAAAATTAATATATATATATATATATATATATATATTTAAGTAGCTTGATATTTTTTTAAGTAGCTTGATTTAAGATTAAAAAAAAAAAAAGATTTTAAATTGTTACCCGGTTACAAAGATTAAAAATCGTTCAGTGTAGTGAGTGTATTTTTGTCAATAATTTTATAAATTTATACTTCGTACAATTTTTAAGAGTGTTTTTAATGTTTATATGTTATTAGGGTTCAAAAAAAAAATCATTAACCAATTTATAATATGAAAAAGATGGAGATAGTGTTTATCTTTTACTAAAACGGTACAGCTGCCCATACTAAATTCTAGAAGTATAATTCTGCATAAAAACACCAACAGTGACTCGTTAGAATATACACAAAATCAAAAAATTCTAGGGAGTTCATTCATTAATCATATCGGAGTAACACATTTAAATCTATCAAACCTCAAAATTACATTTAATTAATATAAGTAGTAATTACATATTTACATCAAACTAAATTGCTTTTCATATGCCAAACCACGGGCTAGGAGAATAAAAAAATACATGTATAATAATAGTAATAGTTAATGTGTACCCGTATTTTATGTAAGCCGCCATTGAGAAACTGGTTCTCTTTCAACATTTCTCATTGAATTGGTCAAATTGAGACGCCCATTCCTTAATCTAAACGATCACCTAGCAATAATTTTTAAGATCTAAATATAAATTAGAAAAAAAAATAAAAAATTAATGCCATATGTTTTTTTATTTGGTTTCCCATATTAGTTAAACAACAAAAAAGTGTCATTTACAATCAAAAACTTTTTAAATGTTTAGATTATATATGGAGACAACATGAATGTGATTTTAGACATGAGTCAACTGTATCAAAGAAGAGTATAAAACATTATTGTAGCGTAAATGTTTGTTTTTGGTTGAGTAAAACTCACAAATTTACAATTACAATTGGTGATATTCTATTTTAGAAGTAACACAATTTTTAAGTTTGAGGGAAGATTGAGTGAGCTTTTAATGTCTTATACAAGTAGTATATTAATGAATTATCTATGGCTTGATCATAAGATTAAGGGGTTTCAAACTTTTGTTAGAGAAATAAATCCACCACTAACAAAACAATAATAATAATATTCCATTTGTTTCAAAATAATTGCCCCATTTTGATTGTTAAATTTGCCAACACAATTATTAAATAAATGATATCTATAATAATTATTGTGTTCTATAAATAATAATAAAAAAAGTTTTTCTTTTTTTTTTTAATTTTTTTTAATTTTTAATCTTTATTTTTATAAATTACACATTGAGACAATTCTAACATGTTTTTACTTATGTTTAATCTTAACTAAGATAATCAGTAATATTTTTAAACAAACGAAATAAGTTGTTAATATGGTGGCATGTAAAGGTGGCACTGGGTTGGGCCAACCCGAAGCCCGACTTGAAAAAAACCCCGACACGACATGGACACTAAAAAGCATGACACATCACAATACTTTGCATATGGGGCCGTGGCTGTCTTTATTTGGGAGAAGCATGATAAGGCACGACACAGTTAGGACCGACACGACAAAACATGCTAAAATCAATGCAATTTGCTTAGACACGCAAGCCTGGCATGATGGCACGTTGGCCTAGGCCGTGCACGGGCCAACCTTTTGAAAACTTCGGTTCAACATGACTCGGCGCAAAACTCGTGGGTCGAGCCATAAGCCAGGTCTAGCTAACCCTAAAGCACGTGAGCTTAGCCCGAGACACGACCCGATACGGCCAGAACAATCTTTAGTGGCATGGTGCAAGTGTGCTACTAAGTACTTAGTTCCATCTCTTAGTTTCTAAGAATTTAGCCGTGCTCAAATGTTGTACGGGAATTGTCCTGTAGCTAAGATGAAGCAGTCATTGCCAGACTAGACTTAGAATGACTTTAGGTAAGGGTATGTAATATGTATCAGAAGAAACAAAGAAAGAAAGAATTAGAAGAATTGTCAAATATTATACAGTTGTCTTAACCAAGTCAATGCTCACAACAAATTGTACACTACTATAATATATATAAATCCTCCATTTGCATTTTCTTCATACCCACCCTCCCACCATTTTCTTCCTTAATTACTCCAATTATTGTTCTTTCTTCACAAATACTCCTTAATTTTCTCTGATTTTCATTATTCTTTCTCATTATCCTCTGTTTTCTTGGGTTTTCATTCCAAAGTTTGCTGCTTTAATGGCTGTAAGTTTCTTGCTTTCTTCTTCATTTTGCTAGTGTTTTGACCTTTTCAAACTGTTTGTTTTTTTTTTTTTTTTTTAATTTTATTTTCCATGGTTTTGATTGGGAGATTTCTGGGATTTTTGTGGGTTTTTTTATTTAGATAATTATGAACATTTTTTGGGTGTTTTTGGGTGGTGGAAGATCAAGGAAATTATGTTCCTCTGTTCATAGTTTGTTGACTGAATTGGGTTTGAAATTTGCAATCATTATTAGTTCTTTGTTTATGATTACGAATTATTTGCAATATTCTTGTAAATTCTGGCATTACTGATCTTGGAGTTTTTGTGATCAAAACATTGTATTTGCTAATAATTGTAAAGTTGTAAATTTGTTATTATATAGCTCCAACTAATTTATATTATATTTTATCTACTAAAAAAATTATAGTTCTCATATCATTGCTAGAATAAAGTACTGGTATCTTTTTAAGGTACGGTTAGAATGATTAAAATGTAGAAGGATTTTGAGAGATGTCATTAACATTATTTAGCAAAGTCAAATGTAGTTATTAGAACAATATTTCGTCAACTTAAGTTATCTTGGTAGCAATAAATATTGTCTTGGAAAATCATAACCCTTTCTTTTCATCTCGTTGATTGTTTAGTGTCTTATTATGAGAATACGCGCTTTAAGTCAATACTTGTTTATTCCACCATAAGAGATTCTTCTTGGACATTGCATATTTGGAAATATTGACTTTGGTATTTTTTTGATGTTATGATCTTTGGTTGTCCAATATATTGTTGTGAGAGATCCTATAATTATAAAGCGATGTTTAACTTAAATCTGTTTATGTCAACGTAAAATTACTAAAGTATGTATTCTGTTTCACTTTAGTTAAAGTTTTAAATTCTTAGCCATATTTATGGAGAGGCTAAAGAGTATGGATGACAAGCAATTGATCATCACTTTCCTCCATTATGCCTTCAGCTTCTAAGAACATATGATTGTTTCATCAACTAATTTGGCAATTTTGATGTAACTAGAACAAATGATCACCTTTTTACTTCTAATTTAAGCTCCTTGACTTGCATTTGGCAAAGGATCAAATGTGTCTTTCGAGTGTAATGAGTATGAACACTATCTTGCATTAGTGTGGTTTATGCTTATAGTTTAGTTTATGTGAATTGCGTGCAAGAAAATAAGTTATGAACACGAATTTGTATTAGTACTTTTCTTCTTGTATTCTGATTTATAGCTAGTTTGTTTGACAAATTTGGTTGTGTACTAGAATACTCGCTGTAACAAAAAGAATGAAGTTCTATGTTGATATCATACTTATTACCTCTTGTGCTTTCTTATTTCAGCAGTCTAAAGTACCAAAATTTGGTGCATGGGAAGGTGGAGAAAACTACACAGTTTTCTTTGACAATGCTCGAAAGAAGAAGAATAATGGTCAGATAATTAACCCGAATGACCCTCAAGACAATCCTGATATGTTTCCACAAAACGGAGGCCCAGCTTCTGCTCCTAAAGCAGAACCTAAAGGACAGCAAACTAAGGGCCCTGAATTTGGTGCCTGGGAAAATGGAGAAAATGTTTCCTACACCGAGTATTTTGAAACTAAACGAAAATCCAAGAATGGTGAGCCTACAGCATCAGTTAATGAGCCCCAGATGAACCGAGACATGCATCCTCGTAAGGATCCTCCTGCACAGGCTCGTCCTGCACCATCTAAATCAGAACCAAAACAAGAATCAAGGGCAAAGGTGCCAGCGTTTGGTGCTTGGGAAGGTGGAGGTGAAGGTGGTTATACCCAGAGCTTTGAAAACGTTAGGAAGAACAATAGGAATGGGCGTACTGTCACACCAGAACCTTCTTCTGATGCACCTCGTGGTGTAAGTGAACCTCCAGCTAAAGAGGTCCGTTCTAAAGTGCCTCATTTTGGTGATTGGAATGAGGGAGAAAATGGTGCATATACCGCTTACTTTGAAAATGCTCGGAAAAATAAGACTGCAGGGCCTGTGCCAGACCCTGTGGAGCCCCAGCTCAACCGGGATGTCAACAATAGAGCTCGGCCTACTTCTGCTGCTGGGACTAAAATTAAGGCAGATGATCATCAGTTCAGAAATGCAAGTCGAGGGTCCAATTCTTCTATGAATGAAACTCCTCAGAGAATTGGAAAACAAAATCCTGGGGGTCATTCACCTATTCATCAGAAAGGAGGCAGGCTTCAGCAAAAACCTCCAGCTGGCCGAGGAAATCAAACTGTAAGTGCTCTTTAATTTCTTAAAGAAACCATCTTTCATAATCAATTTCCTCCATCAAATGGTCTTTGGCTTCTTTTATGTAAAAAATTGTGTTACTAATAACTTTGTGTTAAAACCTTTAACAGCCAGATAGAGGGACAGCAATTCCAGCATGGGGTGTCTGGAACACTGATCCTCAGCAAGCTGAGGGTTTTACGGGTGCTTTCACAAGGGCTAAAGAGGAGAGGAACACACCTCTCAACTCGAACATTCCACAACGCCATAACCAGCAACATCAGAGATCACCAGAGAGAAAGGTTAATATTGCATCATATATATATATTTTCCTGCAGTCTAAAGCATTTGTTTTTATTATACTCACTAATTTACTTTTGTTTCTGGTTTTACAGAAGGGAGGTTTGTTTAGTTGTTGTTTTTGATAAAGAACGCTGTCTAGTTGTTAATCCAATTATACGATGAAGGCCTAAAGGCTTGGATAGTCTTGGGTGGTAATGACTCTTATGAGCTACAATTTGGCTTCTTCATATGTCAAAGATCCAAAAAAGAGAGTTTTGAAGAACAGGAATGATTTTCTGACAATGGGTGTTTATACGTGTGCTTTTCTTTTTCTTTTTGGGAGGGGTAGGGGATTCAATGGTGTAATTGATAACTCTAGTCTATGCTTTCGGGTTTGGGTTCATTAGTTATTCTTTTGAAGGATCCCATATGATTAATATTCTTTGAAGTTGTCGGTATATGTTTTGAAGTAGACTTTGAGCTTCCATTTGTTAGTTGTAACAATCTTATTATGCATAAATTTGAAGCAAACTTCTTGAGGCTCTTTCATGGTCTATGACTTTCAGACCTATCCACTGAATTCACTTGTCCTTCTTGCTTGGCCTGAACAATCGTAGCACTGTCACACCCATGTCAGCATGGCATGGTTGCCTCGCGGCTTCCTGCTAACTTGCACGACTGCACATTGAGAGTTGTCAATCCTTCACAGTGTCTTGCATGTACAGTTTTATGTATTGTGCACAAACTAATTAAAAGCACAAGATAACTAGTGATAATATTGCTCCACAAAGTGAAAATGATATTGTGGCTAAATATTTAGGCTAAACAGAAAATGAGGGAAAGGAAATTAGCACCAAGTAAAAAGAAACGCAGGATGTAGATGTAGAATGAATTCTCTATTTTGCTGTGAAGTTCTACAATTTGTTTGCTAATCACTTATGGCCTTGCCAACATGAGCAAGCATGTATCATTGTTGGAAACAACAAACAAGTTTGTAAATGGTTAACACATAATCCTGAAGTTTGGAGATGAGAATCAACCTCATCATCAACTTTCAAGATAACTTGTTATGAGCATTCACTTTTTTGCTACCAAGAGGTGCTTAGATAATTGGACCAACCGTAAGGAAGTTGTTTTTAACTTAACAAGAAGTCTCGAGTTCAAGCTCTCAAAATACATAGCTCTAAGAATTCAACAACATTTTATTGGGCTAATTTTTTCTTCAATAGTAGTATATTCTAACTCAAATCCAGATTAGTCAAGAGTCTAATAGGCTTTTGATTATAGGGTGACGTACGCTTAAAAAAACATTTTTGCTACTTGTATTTGACAATTCCAAACTTTTCTCAAAGTATGTATTGTTAATAAGATTTTTAAGCTCCAAGTTACTAGATAAATGTTAATCTAACCCATTTGTTTAGAAGCTATAACCAAAAATTGATGGATTTTTGCAATTTAAAAAAAATATTAATTCGTCGACAGCAGGGTTCGAACCTGCGCGGGCAAAGCCCAACAGATTTCAAGTCTGTCTCCTTAACCACTCGGACATATCGACATTTGTTGCCATATTTGCAAAAGTAAATTATATAAATAAAAATTCTCAATTTTATAATAAGGCATTATTTTTTATTTTTTCAGATACAAAAGTTATAAATGTTGTGTAATCTGTATTCGTAAATCGTAAATCGTAACATCTGATACATTACAGTATGAGAATAAATATGGGAAGGAAGATGAAAAATCAGAAAAAATAAAAGTTATATGAATGTAAAATCAGAAATAATTGATTACATAGAGGAATGAAGATTATACAATTGAGTTTGGCTAGATTGGGGAAATTAATTTGACAAATTCACCTTTCCAAAATAAAGGAGCTATTTTCTAGGAGAAATATTAATATGAGGGAGATTATCATGGGGGAATGAATTAACTGAACCTTGAAACGCTACAGAGAATTAGTTTTAATTTTATTAATTTTAAGTTTTTTTTTTTTTTTTTTTTTTTTTTTTTTTAAATATTACACAGGCTTCAGATTTCGGGGCCCTGGGCGGCTGCCCCAGCTAAAGATTGATCAATTGCCACCAAATTTGTTCTCGATCGATCTCTAATAGCAGACTAAACGAACAAATTCAATAGACTGCTTAGCTTAGCTTGTGCAGTCACTTGTTATATATAAGTACATATTATATCAGCACTAGCAATCGCACCAAAATTTTGCATTGTCAATAATTTTGGTGATCCTCAACCTAAACTCTGTTATCACAGCTTACAATTATTATGATGTGGTAACTTTTGGGGCAAAACCCAATTCGAATTCGGACTCTTCTAAGGCGTTGGAGGCGGCTTGGAATATAGCTTGTGAATCAACGGGCGAGTCGACAATTCATATTCCTGAAGGAGAATACTTTGTTCCAAAATCCCTTAAGTTTTCTGGAAAGGGATGTCAAAGTAGTAAGATTAATTTTGTTATTAACGGAACCCTTATAGCCCCTAGTGATTTTCGAGTGCTTCAAAACTCAAAAACATGGGTGTTATTTGAGCATGTCAATGGTCTTACACTTTCTGGTGGAGTGTTTAACGCTGCGGGATCTAAGTTATGGAACTGTAAACGATCCGGAAAAGAAGCATGTCCTCGTGTTGTGGAAGTAAGTTATTTATTTTCTATGCATAAATTATATGATAAAGTAATGCTCTAATTTAACTAGTACGTACCTATGGTTATTTTTACATTAAAGGATCATTATATGTTATTTGATCACAACCCTAATATTATTATGTGACGCAACATCGTACTCAAACGTACTTATAAATTAAAAAGAAGTTTGTTGACACAATTAGAAAGAAGTAATTCCTTTTTCTCACCCTTATACCAGCCAAAGATTATTGCCAAGATGTACCAAGACAAACATCCTCCAGATCAGGCTTGTCCTTCACCAGCCAAACGTCCCAGATTTGATGATACAAATGTTAGTAAGCCTCCTCTTCTGGTAAGTGCTGCAATTTTACACAAGCGTTATTATTATTATTATTTAATTATGGTTAGATTAGTCTTTATATAAAACCCTTTTTTATGGGTTATGTGAATTGGTAGTTAAATTACATCTATATACTTATATATATTATATTAATGAATGTTAAGATACTATCTCAAGATTTATCTTTTAAATTCAATTATTTTTCATACCATACAACATTTTTCTAGTTCAATTTTTTAGATTTATAAGGTCATGATGGGTACATAAATTTTATTTTTAAGGACAAAATAGTTTTGATGATAATGTTATGTAAACAAGATAAATGAAAAACAACTTTTTGATGCAGCAGGCTGCCAGGCCACACCATGTGACAGGGTTACTTGAGTTTTTCAGTTAGGGGTTACTTGAATTTGTTCAGTTAGGGGTTACTTGAGGGGTTCGGACATGGTGTACGCGAGGGATTCACTCGGTTAAGGATTACTCAGTCACGGGTTACTCAAGAGGCTAAACTCTATTGGAATTTTCACGGTTAAACTCTATTGGAATTTTCTCCGAAAAAAGTCAACAAGCACATCAAAATCGTGTTGACTTGTTCAAATACACTCAAATGCATTTGAACAAAAATAAGCTTCATAAGTCCTCGTTTATGTGTACTTAAACAAAACCTATGAATATAGATTGACATTCGTCACCTTACATTTAAACGCAAGTCATCGTCAATAAATGTCATCCTACACGTGTCATCATCAACTTGCGTAACAGTATTAGAGGATTTATTCTAAGATCGCCTAAACAAACCACCTGATCAAACGCAGATTCATTTGAAATATGTGCAATGTTACTTAACCTTTACTAATTTATTTATTTATTTTTTTGTTTTTGTGGGCTCCCATTTCAGCTGGACTCTGAGCGGCCGTCCCTGGGTACAACCCCCCTGCTCTCCACAAGTAGTTTTCCGGATGATAGAGGGATTGAGGAATTCAGGGAACCTGTCAATTGTATAAGGTATCCTTTACTAGATGAGAATCTGATGGATGAAAGAGGTTGGCCTCTACCAGGGGACTACGGGGGAGGTAGAACATTTACAACTCCTCATTCCAACTTCATGCAGGTAAAACGTCAGTTTATTTATACATACTTGATCTTCAGTCTTCATTTACACTTTGTTTGGATTGAAAGAAATGAAGGGAAAAGAAAGGAAGGAAAATGAGGGAACTAGTATCTCTCATTTGGATAGTAGAAGTGGAAGGAAGGGAATTGAAGAGAAAAGAAATGGAGAGATTAAATATCTCCAACAATGGAGAGATTTACAGTTTGTTTGGATAAAGAAAGAGGAAGGAAAAGAAGGGGACGGAGGAGAAGAGGAGGGGAGGGAAGAAGGATGAGTTTTCCTTCCAAATCTCTCCATTGTTAGAGGGATCAATTTCTCTCTCCTCCAATTCCCTCCCTTCCTCATTTGCTATCCAAATAAAAGGTACTATATCTCTCCATTTTCCTTTCCTTCCTTTCCCTCCATTTCCTGAAAATAAATCTTTCTTCCCTCCCCTTCCCTTCCTTCCCTTCTCCTCCCTCCCCTTCTTTCCCTCCCCTCATATCTATCCAAACACATTGGAAGTATATATCTTGATTTCCTTCTGCTTCATTTACATTATTGCTCCCTATTATGCCAGTCAAACGGGGGGGCATCCAACGGACAAGTCCCAAACTCAACTGATCACCCTACCCAAAGGAAAAAGGTAAGTCTATTTATGCATACATTCACAAATAAAAAAAAAAACAAATTATTGTTATGAAATATTTGTGGATATTCATTATCCTCCTTTGTATCATTGCGGAACAATCTAGATCTAGAATTATCCAATCAAACCCTAATATATTGTATGTATATATACACCTTATCATATGAAATAATATACACAGATTTATTCTCTCCTCAATTATTCTCTTATTCCCTTTATTTTACAATACGTTATCAGCACCAAATCTAACCAAATGATCATAATATCAAGGGAAGTCTTAGATTGTTAATCTCGATATTGGCAATCAAAGTAACCGTAAAATTCAATACGATGGACTCGTTTGATTGATTAACCGCAAATATTAATGCTGCCAAAGGTACGCTTATTTCTGTTTTTGACGACATGCTAAAATCATATTCTAGTAGTTATACACCTTTTGTATGTAAGCCACAATTAGAATTTAGAATTAGATTATTGATGATTAATCGATTGAATGATTTACCTAGAGTATTAGATCTGATAGTCAAAGGTCCACATATGATTTATTGTTTTATCAATTAATTTGTTTTGAATAATTTCTTGATTGATAATAATTTCTTAAGTGATAGTATCCTTGAAGATAAAATTTTGGATCAGATTTAATTTAGGCAATATTATATGCTGACAATGGTTTTCATCCATTCAAATTGCATAATTAATAATAATAATGACCATTACGCCTCCTCATAATCTATGTATGTTTGTTGTTTCTTTTGCCAGAGTATATTATATAGTTAAGCACCAATTTCATCTACTATATCTAATTGGATCCATGTTTAAGATTAAATAGTTTATATATATATATTAGTCCGTGTCGCTTGCCTTTAGCCTCATATTAGACAATGTTTATTTACTGTATTTGTTTGGTATCTTTCAAATCATGTCATGATTTTGATGATAGGATTGACATAATCTTAGTGATAATATCTTTTTATTATCTTCCTTAATTATCTCCTATAAACTAGATGTACATATATTGTTGCCACCATTACTCCCTAGATTGACATTGACTTATATTCTCAAGCTTTATGAAGGAAATCATCAATAAAACATTCTCTACACTTGTATCCTATGTTGTTCGTACTTGATTATTCTTTAATTCACACACATGTATCATGAACTATATCCCAACACTGTTGCAATTATTAATCCTTTATGGATGTCATTATGTGTCAATTTTATTCTATGTCTAATGACTCGTGATGGCTACTTATGGCTACTTAGCATTGCTCTCATGATCTTATGTACCTGATGTGGTTAATTATTCGATTTGTTTATAATTCTACCATGTATGCAGTAGCATTATACTTATAGTACTCTATTAAACCTATTACTTTCATTCATGATTATGTGATTGGAGAGAGAGAAATGATTGAAAAAAAAAATTAGATAAATAAAACCGAGCAAGTATATTGTTTGCGGAATAGATGGTTTTATAAGCATGATTAAGTTATTATATGATGTTTCTTATATATGACATCAGATTCTTATATATGATAATTAATTATAATGGTTAATAACCATGACACCGCTATTATATGAGATACTTATGATTTACTTTGAAGTGGATAATAAGACAAGGAGTGTATTACTAGTAATTTTATTTCCTTAAGTATAATATGAAAACATACATGTACATGATGACTTACAAATGTCCAACAATAGTTTCTATGGTATGTTGTTGGCTATATTATCCTCCGTAAGCAAAACCAATGTATGTAAAGTGAAAATAAATACATAAATAAATACTTTGAACAATCGATATATTATTATATGGTCTTTGAGTGGATATCCTTAATTCCAACTTTGGGTTAAAAGTGGAGATCCTTGATCCCAACTAGACTATTAGCTCATTCCCAGAAGTAAATGAGCAATCTCAAGATTGAAACAATAATAATAATAATATAAGCATGTTTGCATGATGTTATTTTGATATAATTCATTGGAAATTCATGAGAATTACCAAAACGATTACATATATTAGCTATTTGAGCAAGAAATAGTGTTATGAGTTCAAGAAATTACCCTTATACCAGCCAAATGTAAGGGCATCGCCAGAGAATGAGGCCCAGATGAACTCACCAAGTAAACCAGAAACACGATCTAAGGTGCCAGAGTCTCGGTCTAGGCTCCGAAAACAATTGTTGGATGGTGGTGAGAGTGTCCAGAGTGACGATCACAGGGAACCTTTCAATAATGCAAGGTTAGTGCTGAATGACGTTTTGATTGGTGGAACACTTGAGAATTATGGAGAAGGTGACGTTTTGATTGGTGGAACACTTGAGAATTATGGAGAAGGTGCAAGATTACAAAGGGAACCTGTCAATCGTGCAAGGTTTCCTCTTCTGGATGAAGCTTTGATTGCTGAAAGAGGTTGGCGTCTACCTACAGATAATGGGGGAGGTAAAAGCTTAACAGTTAGTCAAACTGGAATTGCATCCCGGGGCTTCCCAATTTCTAGTACTGCATCTACTACTCTCCAGACAGGGTCAAAACTCAAGCAGGTAATACGTCAGTTTGAACATACTCTTCAGTCGTTATTTAAATGGGCTAAGTAGCCTAACTGTGAGTAACACTTTCTGTACAAGTAACTGTATTTGCAAGGTCATTTTTGTGTACGAGTAGGACACAAATCTCATCTGTTGGCTATAGCTTTCACATCCTTCTGCTTAATAGTGGAATATTGTACTCCTTTATATGGCTGTTTATCTTTTGATGGTATGTATCTGTGTTGTGTATGGCGTACTTGGTTTGTGTACAACTAGGACATTTAGGCCCCGTTTGTTTTGGTGTAAATGTTTTAATGAAGAATGATTTTCCGATTTTTCTTTGTTTGGTTTGTGAAGGGGTGGCGGAAAATTGCATCCTTAATGATGGAAAACATTTTCCTTCACAAAACAAGGGAGAACTTCAAATTAGATTCCTTCACAATCATTAAGAACACAATCATTAAGGAATAACAAGTACAGAAGGAATCAGAATCACATTAAAAACACTTCAATATCTGTTTTTCTCTTTAGGTTTTTGATTTCAATATATTTACACTGGTAGTGTAGAACTTTTGGTTTTGAAATGCAATCTTGCTCGAGTTTTCGAGAAAGTTCGGACTGGGTCAGATCTATAGAACTATTAGAAGCAAGCAAGCTAATGCTGGTTTTAAATTTGCTTCATTTTGCCACTCAAAGTATCAACAACCTTAAAAATCTGTATGCTCTAATTTTAAAAGCAGGTTCTTACTTGAACTTGTTGCAACTTCAACGAGGAATATGTACAGAGAGATGGGTTCTTTATTTGGTGTAGGTAAGTGAGGAATATATAATAGAGAGGGAAATTTTGGAAAATATATGAAAATATGATGGTTCTGGTAAGTTTTATTGCTTTTTTGTCTGTCAAAAAAAAAAAAAAAAGATTTATTGCTTTTTTGGAAGAATAGATAATCAATGAAGCCACAAACTTTGAGTACAATATTCTTGATAAACTCTTGACAGATTTAAACAAGAAACTTGGTACTACTATGAATATATGATCTTTAAATTCAACTTTCAGCAAGGCATAACTCATGGGGCCTGAAGAATTTACTGATACATCATAGTGGTTTTGTTTTAGCTCATAGATTCTTATTTATTCCATATGTGCCCTTCACTAAAGCCAACACTAAGTGCCTCTTTCATCAAGAAACAAATTTTCTGATCTTATGAGCTTAATGTTGTGATAATATCTTCTCTGTTGCCTTAGCTTTGGAATACATTCCATAAAAAAGGCGCTTCTTTCTTTAAGAAAGCAACATCCGTTCCAAGAGACAAGCAGATCAATTTTAGCACCAAGAATGCAAAGATGACTCTGAGAAATGACACTCCACATCATCATTGATATCACTTGCCAACTTATCACTCCAAGAAAGGTTAGTATTATTTATGCACTTCAACGATTAGAGACGAGGATTTGGTTGATTTTGGAAAAATGGTATATTTCAGTTTCTTGAGGTAGCTAGAGTGAAATAAAAACAAGAACCGTAATTGCATAAAGGCGGTTAATATTATATACACTCCTCTTATGAATATTGCCATTTGATTTGTAGTTATATCTTGGATACTATACTCTCTAAGTTTTAGAGTTCATTTAAATTTAAGCTATTGGTTAAACTCCATAAATAAGCTATGATTCAGATACATTTATTATTGCCGTCTTTTTGCAGCAAATTGTATAATAATGCATTGAGCTTGCGAGAAGATTGAGGATCTTCTCGTGAGCCCTTCACGAGACAAACTTTTAATACTTGGCGCTTGATGATACCTTGTTTCCCTGTACAAGCTGCTAGTTGGTTTTTTTTCCCCTATGTTTCAGCTGTACAATTATGAATGATTTGCAGAAGTCGGAAACTGGTATGTTTTTGTATTAAAGAGGGGCAATCATATCATCTTAATTGAGCACCCTAATACTGTGTGTTTCCTGTTTTCATTAGTATTTGTTTCAACATATTATACTCACTACAGTTGATACACACAACTATGTACTCCCACAAGATTATATCATTAAGCCTCCCATATATGGCTAGAATTATCTTTTAATCTCTCACCTGACATAGGATTACAGGAGCCTGTAGAGAAATTGTCTCACATTAACTATCATGAGACGTTGTAAATTGGTGAGAACTATGTCATGTATTGTTCAGCCCTAAAGAAACTTAGAATGAGAGCAAGTAGTGATTTTACTAGAATCTTTGGAATTACTGGTTTGCATCATGATGAGGTCACTCATGATAAAGAGAAATAAGGTCTTTCACAATGATGCGCCTTAACAGGACTAACACTTTGTTTGGATAGGAAGAAATGGTAGGAAAAGAAAAGAAGAGAAATGGAGGAGGACAAAATCTCTTGTTTGGGTAAAAGACTGGGGGAAGGAAGGGGAAGGAGAGGGAGGGATCCATTTTCCCTTTCTCTCTAATAACCATAATCTCTCCAAAATTGGAGAGATTTGGAGGGAAAATGGAGCTCACCTCCCCCTCCCTTTCTTTTCCCTTCCCTTCCTCCATTTTCTCTCCCCTTCTTTTCCTTCCTTCTTTGCTATCCAAACAAAGCGTTAAAGGAGCAATGACTAAATGAGCAATGCCTAAATGAGCAATGCCTAGGAAAGGCTAAAGACTAATTTTAAGCCAAAAGATGGTGTTATGATCTCCCCTTCAACCCTGGTAAAATATGTTCCAATCAGCTCAGCATTACCAAGTTGTTGCCCAAGCTGAATTTGATGTAATAGACAGAACCTTAATTCCTCTATATTGTGATGATCAAGCTGCTCTTTTCTTTCGTGGCCAAATATCAAGTTGTTCCTAACAGATTAAAGACTTGGATTGCCACTTTGTTTGTTAATGTATAGTTAATTAGTTATTGGTATATGCTGAAAGGGTTATGACTTGTTTGTATGTATGTGAATTGTGAATACCTTAGAAACATGTACAGAAGATATCAAAATTATATGTAGGTGCCATTTGGCTATACTATATTAATGAAGTCCCTTTTCTTTTTGTCTAAAAAAAATAATCACAATTTTAAAACTCCATTTGCACCACCACAAAAAAAAAAAAAAAAAAAAAAAAAAAAAAAAAGACTAACAATTCTTGGTGTATGGTGTCTGTTGCTGCATTTGGTTTTGAAGGTAAATAGAATTGAGGTTGATGAGCAATTAAGGTCTTGTACTTTTGTGTTCCATTTCTCTTGTGCTACTTGCATAATATTCAATCATGTTAGCTATGTGGTATTGTTTAGCAATTAGATCATGTATTAGATCATGTATTAAGCCAAAATTTTGACAATTCACAATCCCTTGTCAACTAGATCTAATATGCAATTAAGTTTGCTATCTTGGGACATCAATTCAATCTAAAACAAACAACATGCCATCATCAATTCAATCAATTTAATCACACAATTATCATCAAATTTATCTCAAATAACTCAATTAACCATAACAAAGCTTCACTCAACACCTAGTAGAAGGAAATCTACTCAAACATGATTAACAAAGCAATTAATAAAGCATAAAGAGAAGAGAGAGTAAGAAATGCTCATTGATATAAAATGGAGATCTTCAAATCATCAAATTCCTCCTTTGACTATCCAAAATCCATGAAAACCATTGTTTTTCTCACTTTCTCTCTCCAAAATTTGAGAGTTTATCTCTCTAAAAACCTAAAACTAACCTAAAAACTACTAAAATATGAAATCCCCCCTCTAAAATGAGCAAAAAAACTATTTATAGCCCTTACTAAATTGCCTAAGAAGCTCCGCAAAAAGTCGAGCAGCGCGTAGAGGAGCGGGCGCTCCAATTTCGTGCACAGGCGCTCCTAGCTGTAGCAAAATATGGCAGAATCGTTCCGGAAAGTTTGGAGCGGGCGCTCCTCACAGGTGTGTGCCCGATGCTCAGCTTCAAATGAGCATGTCTCCCACGTTTTACATCGGAATTGGGCGTATGACCTGTTGCTGGAGAGCTCTCGAGATAAGCTTTCATCTCCAATTAAAATCGCCCCAAAATGTTTTGTAGATCAAAAGATATAGGAGTTTGAAGTATGATCTTTGCAAATCAAGTGCACATTTCTTCATTACTTGTTCTTTTATGTTTTATATTTCTTCAATCTTGAGCAATGAACTTATCCAAGTGTTCCTAAACATAAGAGTAAACCAATAACGTTTAATTTAATGTCATAAGCCACCAAAATATGCAAGAAAAGCCAAAATTGAGCAATAACGACATTTCACACACAAACATGACAAATGTAGTAAAACGTTATTAAAACCAAGTAAAAAGATAGAAAAACTATGAAAAACTAACTAGAAAACTCCTAAAAATAGAGACATAAATTACACTTATCACTGATATACTCTATTGGCTAGATGATATCCACTATTGGCTATATCATATCATGGCGGGATGATATCCTCTATTGGCTATATGATATCATCCAACCATGATATCATCGATCCAACCAATGGAGGATATAAAAAACCCGCTAGACTAACGAAACATTTGGTCAATTCGGACTGACGCAATATCTTCTCATATTAATATTATAATGAACGTTTATCAAATTGAAAATGAACATTCATCAAATTGAAAATGAACATTCATCAAATTGAAAATGAACATTCATCAAAAATAATTTTCACTAAGAAATAAATATATAATTCTATAATCCTACGAAATATGTGAACTTATCCACAAATAAATTAGGACATTTATACTCTGTTTACAAGGTTTTTTATGTCCAATAATTTTGTAATCTAATCATTCTATTAATCAACATGAAATCTTCTAAAATGAACATTTACGATATATTAAATTTACTAGCCAAAATTCACCGAGTAACAATTTAATGCACAAATAAGTAATTTTAATTTAGTAACCGATTTAATTTCAACTATCCAATATTCAAACATTATAAACACTTATGTATTGTCGCATTCTTTTTTTTTTATCTTTGAAATACTCTTCTCCATTCTACAAAATAGTACAAATGATAGTAGACTCTAATTATTTTTGAGCAACAATAAGTATAAAGACTTTTTTGTGAAGAACTACCTTATACATTACAGTTTAAATTTTGTGAAAAACTACCTTATTAAAAAGATGTTATAAAAAAAACCCTTATAAACACTAAATCTTGTAAGAAACTACCTTATAAAACACATAATGTTGTAAGAAGCTACCTCGTGTCGGATTATTGCATTGAATAAGAGACTTTGAATGACCCATTTTCAATCATTTTTTCTCATTTTTCCCACCCAATTTCTCCATAGCCCCTTATAACTAGGGGTGTTCAGATTCGGGT